GGGGGGACATGTTTGTGTGTCGTCTGTGTGATGCCTGCCGTGGGGGAGCCGGAGGGGCAGCCAGCTGATGACTGTCTCTCCCATGGGACCCAGGCCTGCAGTCCCCCAGCCAGTGGAAGCAGGCGATCAGGAAGTGCATAAAAGCTCCCCTCTGGGGGGCACTGGCACTCTGGACAGCAGTGGAGGGGGAACGTGAAGATGGCCCTGGCCAGTCTTTGCCGCTGGGGAGTACCCCAGTGGGCCCCAAGATGAGTATTAAATTAGAAGCTGGCCCCTCAGGCTGATGCTTTAAGACAAGCAAATGAGCCCCTAGGTGCCTCTCAATCAGCTGCCTCTTCGCTGGTCACTGAGGACAGCGAGTCTGGTGTGCGAGCTCTTTAAAAGCCATTCTCAGTATGCTGTACGGCCTGGTGGGTTTGGGGGGTTTGAGCCCTGTGGTTTTCAAAAGCTGGATTTTTTTTTGGCGGGGGTGGAAGAGGTTTGTTTTCAGGTGCAAGTCTTAAAAGCTGGTGTGCCCAATACAGAATTCTAACCCTCCTTTCTAAAGAAGCTCCCCAGCCTCTGGCAATCACCATTCTACTTTCTCTATATATAAATTTGACTGATCTTGGTACTCATGTAAGTAGAAATAATATATTATTTCTCTTTTGTGACTGGCTTATTTCACTTAGCATAATGTCCTAGAAGTTCATCCATGTATCATGCATGTGTCAACTTTCTTTTTAAGGCTGAACAGTATCTCATTATAACATATATTTATACACCACATTTATTTATCCATTCATCTATAGATGAATAGTTGGGTTGCGTCTGCTTTTTGGCTAATGTAAATACTGCTGTGAACACGAGTGTACAAATATCTGGTTGAGTCCCTGCTGTCAATTCTGTTGTATGGAACTGCTGGATCACCCGGTAATTTTGTGATTTTGTGGGGCAAACAGCTGTAATTTTTCCACAGCAGCTGTATCGTTTTACATACCTGCCAGCAGTGCACAAGGGTTCCAGTTCTCCAGATCCTCACCAACACTTGTTTTGTGTTGCTTTGTTTATGAAAGCCATCCTAATAGGTGTGAAGTGCTATCTCATTGCAGCTTTGATTGGCATTTCTCTAATGATGAGTGAGGTTGAGCATCTTTTCACATGTTGGTCACTTGTATGTTGTCTTTGGGAAAATGTCTATTCAAATACTTTGCCATTTTTTAACCCATTTTTTTTTGTTGAGTCATATCTGGTTTTATATTTTAATAAAATTATATTTGATATAAAAAGATTTTTCCTTTATAATAATTGTTTCCATATACTGGTTGTTAACTTTGTTTCTCTTATATATGGAGAGGTATACTCGGCAGTGCTAAAAACTGTATTTCAATTCAAAAGATTTTAGAGCTCTAAGTAATCTGTGGTACAAACATCAGTTATTATTAGCAATAGTATCAAATTTCTTAAAATATCATTTAAAATGGCATACAAAAATATCAAGTATCTAGAAAACTAACCCGGCAAAAAATATGCAGGTTCTCCACAGAGATTAAAGAATACCTCAATTAATAAAAGATAGAGGTAGGCCATGTTTGTGGATTACAAGATTCAATCAATATATTAAAGAGTCAATTTCCCTCAAATTGAATTATAAATGCAATATAATCTCAATAAAAATTCCAACAGGATGCTTTTCTGGAACTTGATTAGCTTGTTCAAAAATATATATGGAAATGCAAAGAACAGCCAAGACACTCTTGAGGGAAAACAAGATATCAGGAAAGCAAAACTCATTGTAGTCAGTTTCCTTAAACAGTATGGTTCTGGTACAAGAATAGATGGTTCCAAAATAGATACATACACACACATAAAGACATTTGCTTTATGACAAAGAAAAGTAGGTAAGGATGAATTTAGCAATAAGGGTTACTAGGACTAGATGCTCACATGGGCAATATAAAATATAGGTGAAAAGCAAAATAATAAAGCTTTGAGTAAACAGGAGAACATTCATGATTTCAGTGTAAGGGAATACTCCTCAAATAAGACACAAAGTGAATAAACTTAAAAGAATGATAAATTGTACTACATTAAAATTAATAATACTATTTACCTTTAACCCCCACCCATAAAGAGAACTAAAAGGTAAGGTACACAGTGTAAAGATATAACATATATAATTGACAAAAACTTATAGCTGACTACATAAAGAACTACTAATTAGTAAGAAAACCCCAACATAAAAAGGGGCAAAAGACCTGAACAGGAATCCATAGAAGAGGATATACAAATGTTCAATAAATGAATGAAAAAGTATTCAGTCTCACTAGAAAATACAAATCAAAACCACAAGACATTACTTGATATCAGACATCATAACAATATCAAGGGTAACAAAAGAAATCCCCATCCACTGCTGGCAAAGGTGTACAGTGGTAGAACCATTTAGAAATGAATTGGCACCATCTAGTGAAGTTGATGGCAATGTTTTGCAAGCATCTTCTAAGATGCCCCTAGTGGTCCTTGTCTCCTGGTATTAACATTCTTGTGTAATCCCCTCCTACTTGAATGAAGCTGGACTCAGTGACTTGCTTCCAATAAACAAATCATGGCGAAAGTGATGTGATATCACTTTCAAGATTAAGTTATAAAAGACTGTGATTTCCATATTGCTGGTTCTCTCTCTGGAAGTTCATACTTGCTCATGGTGACAAAGCAAGCTACTATGTTGTGGGATGTCCACAGTGACGTCCATGTGGGAAGAAACTTGAGGGTAACCTCTGATTCACAGCACACAAGAAAATGAACCCTGCCACCAACCACATGAGCTTAGAAACAGATTCCTCCCCAGCCGAGTGTCACAAAGTCTACAGTCCTTGACTGAAGACTTGGGGACAGCCCTGGGCCAGAGGACTCAGTTAGGCTGTGGCCAGATTCCAGACCCACAGAAACTGTGAGGTAACATTGTTTTAAGCCACAAAGTTTTGTTGTAACTTGTTATGCAGCAATAGCTAATACATATGTAAACCATGCTAGATTGTGTTAACCCAGTATCAAAGCTCCTGTCCGTGTTTGAGGACAAAGCTTCTCAGGATCTCTTTCCCTGTAGGAGTCCCAGTTTGTTGCCAAGCACAAGGAACTCATGTAAGACAGGAGACACAAGTGTCCCAGGTCTCAGTCCTCAGTCTTCTTTTGTCTAAATTCTGTTTGGTGATGTCAGCCAGAATCACGGTTTTCAAACTTACTCCACAAGTCCCCTCCATCTCTGCTGGAGGAATTCCATCCTTCTAGTTGCCAGACCAAAATGCTTGGAGGTTTTCCTTTTGATCCTTGAACACTCCACAGAGAAATCCTGATGGCTCTACTGCTAGGACATGTGCTGAAGAGGACCACCTCCACTGCTAACTTTCCAATCCAATTCCTCATCTCTTGCCTGGATTCCTGAAACAGTTTAATTTACATTTGCCATTTCATAGTCTATTCTCACCAAATGCCATGGTGATACTTCCATAAGTAAGTCAAATCATGAACTCTGCTGTTTAAAATCATGAACAGCTCCTATTCTAGACAAAGTTCTTGTGGCCTGCAATGCCCTTCATGACTCTGCCATGTCACCTTGGTGCCCTGTCTCTGCTACTCTTCTCCTTGCTCCCTCTGCATGCAGCCACGATGGCCTCTTTGCTCTTCCTCACACACCTGAGGCTTGTTCAGCCCTAAGCCTTTGCACAGGCTAGTCCCTTCTTTTTCCAGCAGCCTTTCTCAAAGGGGGTTTGGCAAATTACCTAGAGGACTGATTCAGTAGGACTGGGCTTGAGAATGTGATTTCTGGTAAGTTCTTGAAATGCTGATGTGGCAACCATACTTTGAGAGCTACTACCCTAGGGCATCCACTGTATGCAAAATATTAAATTCTGTCCTATGCATCTTGATAATTATTATGTATCATCCTAAGGAGAACTGTGAAAATAATCACTGGCACCATTTGTGTTCGATAGAACTCTGGGTGAAAGAGGCTGGGCAGTAGCTTTAGGACCAGTGCTCCTCCTCCAGGTCTTTGTTCAAGTGTCAACAACTTAATGAGTGTCCCGGAGGACCCTGCTGAACAGTGTGCTCCCCCTACTCTTGCTCTCTCAACTCTCCTTTGATCTTTTTTTTCTCCTGTAGCACTAGCACCTAACATTCTGTGATTCACTTGTTTACGGTTTACTGTCTCTCTCCTCCCAACTAGAATGTAAATCCAAGACGCAAGAGCCTTTTTTTTTTAAACACAAAGGCTAAACATTTTTAATATAAATATTTGAATTGAAAATGAATCTTTTAATTTCCTCAGCAGAGCATAAACTCGTTTTATAACATACTAACTTTACCACATGTGCTCATAGGGAACACAGCAGTGGGAAAAAGACGTGAAATCAGCTAAGCCTGGATTCCAGTCGGCTTCACTATGTACTAGTTAAATGCTTATGCAAAGTTGTCACATTTCTCAGGCTCAGGCATTTATTTTTTAAATGGTTGTAACAGTAGGTGATTGCTAGATATTTTGCATACATTTGTCTCATTTACTTCTAATAACTGTATTCTCACCATTAAGAAGTGCTCAAAAAATATTACCTGATTGCTGTCTCATCTCCTCTGGCTCACATCTCATCGTGCAAGCCACTTAAACACAAGTCTTTTAGTTCTAGATAGTATTATATGTAAGAGCAAACTTTTTAAAATTAGAAATCTCTAATGACCTTAGGTAGAACTCTATTTTAAAACTTAGGTTAGGCAAAGGTTTTAATGTTTTCTAACATGTATCAAATGTAATGGAGAATAAAGTATTTCAAACCAAACTTCCATAGAATATTAAAATCTCCACTGACAGTGTTTCTGGGCAGGAGGCTACTTGAGTTCTGCTGGCCCTGCTAAATGGGACATAAATTTTACTGCAGAACTAAAACTTCACACTTACCAGAAGTATTTTAGGAAAAAAAATAATTTTTACAGATGTATTCTGTTCACTTGCTTTAGATATAAAATGCCCTGTAAAAGCACATAGCAACAATAACTGCTTTCGTAATTGTAGTGAATCATATAAGGTGTGTGTTGCACATTCATGCATGACTTGGTATTGCTGAAATAGTCTTTATTTCTGAACATTCCAAAACAGCAGTATACACAGTAACAAATATTAATTCATATACCATAAGAAAGCATTCATTAGTGCAAATGGGTTTTGTAAAAGGTCTATCAAAAAGATTTATTTGCTTTAAAATGCATTCATTTCCAGAAGCATTGTTAATAAAACATTACAGTTTCATCCTCTGTAATAAAGTATTGAAAATCAATTGTGGTACAGTAGCAAACATTGCAGGTATTAAGTTCAATGAGCTTGTGATGACTTTATAAATATGAAACCCATGTGTGACAATAAATTAACAATGAAAAAGACGAGACTATTTAACTCTGCTGTTTGGCTATCTCCTTGCAATGCTTCAGATTATGTTGTGCTCATTCATCATAAAATTATGTCTCTCAAATTGTATGGTGGATTTCTGCTGATATATCCCTAAAGCTAAAAAAATAGTACCTTACCACAAAAATATTTTTATGGCACAAAATTTAAGTTGTTCCATAGTGGTTCACATAGGTGTAAAAAGAAAAATAAAATTCCTGTAAACTATAAAAAAGTAAATTTCAAAACATATGTTTATAGAACCTAGTTGTAAATACACAATGTATTAAAATACAGAACATGGAATGGGAAGATATTTAGAACACATAAGTAAATTGATCAAGTTACTTTAAAAAACTCATGTGGCAAAGAAAGCATTATTGATACATCTCAAATCTTTAAAAAGGATTCAGGTACATAGCAGTTCTACAAAAACTTCCTAGATCTAAGGGTCACAATACTGCAACCATAGATTTGAGAATGGTGCAGTATCTCAGGCAAATATTTAAGTGCAATAATTAGTCTCTGGCGATAGGTTCAGTGAAAAACAATGCAGTAAATATGTTAAAATGCAAAAGGAAAGAATGTCCTGATGGCCACTGTTACCCAGCCAGCTAGGTAACACACCCTCATCTCCCCTTCTTTCCCAGTCTTCAAGGGCACATAACTGCATTAGTAGCAACCGTCTCTCCAGTTCCCATCCCTCAGAGTGCTCAGTGAAGACAGAGGCTTTGGAGGCTGAAGGAAACTACAAAGGCATGAAAAAAGAGGAAATAGATTATTAATACTCCGGTGAGTCTCATCATATACTTTGTTCTCCCATTTATGCTCTTCCACTCCAGTAGTGAGCATGTGGCCATTCTCCAACAGGCTCTTCTGCTGGAAGCCCCAAGTCAGCACAGTGCCAAGCACACTGTATCTGTACAACTGGATATGCAATGTAAGTGGGAAATGATCAATATCCTTAGTGTGTAAAGAATACCTTAGAAAGAAAAAACTCAAAAAAGTGGCCTAAAGGAAATGGTTATTTCATTAAATACAAAAAAGCAAATCTTTGACTGTTAGTTTGCTATGATATGGGCAGAGATTTTTAAAAAGAATAACACCCAACGTTTGTCTAAGTTTAGGGAAACATATCCCCTCATATAGTCTGGTGGCAGCCTTTTCAGGACGCTAGTTTGGAGACATATATCCAAGGGTAAATAGATGGGCACAGTAACCTATATTTCAAATAATGTGATCTACTCATCCATAAACATAATATTTACTGGAGAAGAATAAGTCAGAATTTATTGAACATGTACCAAAATGATTTCTATATAGGGAGTGGGATTGTGGGTCAGTCTTTTATTTACTTTTGTATTTTTCAATAGTTTCAGAATGTTTTTGATCTAAGTACCTATTCTAATCAGAAAGTAAAAAGCAAAACTCTTTATGCACTGGCATGTATAAAGTCACCATGTCCCTTACCCACTTTCATACTGACTCCCTCCTGCTCCATCTTCCATGTTCTAATTTCTCGTATGACTTGTCGGTATTGACTGCCTCCCTTGTGTCATCTTCCAAGCCTTCCAACCCATTTTCATGGGATATTTTTTGACCTAACTAGGATATCTAGTTCAAGAAGAGCACATCATACTTCTGGGAAGATAGCAGTGTAGAGCGAGCCTGACCCCACCTCCTCCCACCTTCACCCCAAACTACAGAGTAGTTCATCTTGAGGAAGAACTGAGGACTAAGTAAACACAGGACAGCAAGATCACAAATAAAACCCCAGCAGGAGACACAGTAATGGAGGAACCCCCCAACCCCTAGAGCAATGATCTGAGGTGGGAAGGGATATTGCTGAGGGTCAGGGATGTAGATGCCCTGTCCTGGGGCATAGAAAAAAAAGCCATATTTATAGGTGCATCTAGACTATAAATGAAAAATTCCAATGTATTGATCAAAGCACCTGATGTTGGAGCTCTCCCCAGATCTGAGGACTGGCAAGTGCTACTGTTTGCATTCCTTCCCCACACTGAAAGTGACATGGGGAGCAGGGTTGGGGCACACACACTGATCCCAGGCTTGGTCTAGGTGGCATACCAGGTCCCACCCACATCCAGTGCCTCAGTTAGTGCATCTGGGCTGTAGCTACCCAGAGGTTGGGGAGCCAGTTGCTTCTGAACCCTGGAAAGTGTAGGTTGGCCACTGTTGCACCGAGGACACTGGCCCAGTGGCTGCAGAGATGGGGCTTCTTTCCAGGCCATCATCTCTTTGGCAGAGCTGCCAATGAACCTTGGCCTGAGAGCCAGCAGCTGTGGGACAGGGATTCCCTTGGAGCTACACCCAGGCACATGACTACACCGAGGGCATGGAGCTGGTTGCTGACCACCCATGAAGGACACGACTGAGCTACTGCTGCCCTGCAGGTGCTGAGCTCATAGCTGCACAGGAGGGGCTTTCCTGGAGACTGAACCTGGATCTGCTGCCTCCCCACCAGCGTGGACCTCATCAGTATGCACCCTCTCCAGTTGGGACCCAGCAACCACACCCTGGCTCACGCTCACTAGGACTCCAGCCAACCAGCCAAAACCACTGGCACACAACAGCCTCTTAAGGGGCCTTCCTGACACAAGGCAATCATTCAAGACTGGGAGAGGTCACCCTTTCTATCAAGTCATAGAATTAAGCACAGAAAGTCAAACTTTTTTGAAGAAGTGACAGCTGAAAACTTTCCCAGTCTAGGGAATGAAACAGCGAGCCACGTCCAGGAAGTAGAGAGAGCTCCAAACAAGAAAAAAAAAAGGAGGTCCATGCTAAGACACATCATAATTAAAATGTCAAAGATCAAAGACAAAGAATATTCAAAGCAGCAAGAGAAAAGCAGTACATTAACAGTAGTACACTAACAGTAGGGGACTTAAATCAGTGGATAGATCATCCAGACTGAAAAAACAGTAAGGAAACGGTGGATTTGAATGGCACATTAACCAAATGGAATTAAAAGGTATATACAGAATATTATATCCAAAATCAGTAGACTACACATTCTTTTCAAATGCACATGGAACATTCTCCAGAAAGGATCACAAGTTAGGCCACAAAGCAAGTGTCAATAAATTAAGGAAGGCTGAAATCAGATAAAGCATCTCTTTCAACCACAATGATATGAAAATCAAGTGCAAGAAAAAAATGGAAAAAGCACAAACATGTGGAAGCTAAACAGCATACTACTAAACAACCAATAGGTTAATGAAGAAATCAAATAAATAAAATACTTGGAGAATAATGAAAATAGAAATACGATAGTTCAAAGTCTTTGGGATGCACACAAAGCAGTCCTAAGAGGCAAGTTTATAGCAATACGGGCATACCTCCAGAAGAAACAAACATCTCAAATAAACAATCTATGTTGACTCCTAAAGGAACTAAAAAAGGAATAAAGCTCTAAGTTAGTAGGAGAAAGGAAATAACAAAGATCAGAGCAGAAATGAGTGACGCTGAGCCTGAAGAAAACAATACAAAAGATCAATGAAAGTAAGAGCTGGTTCTTTGAAAGCAAAGTTGATAAACTTTTAGCCAGACTCATCAAGAATGAGAGGACTCAAAATCAGAGGTGAGGGAGAGAACCAAGATGGCGGCGTGAGTAGAGCAGCGGAAATCTCCTTCCAAAACCATATATATTTTTGAAAATACAACAAATACAACTAATCCTAAAAGAGAGACCAGAAGACACAGGACAACAGCCAGACTACATCCACACATGTGAGAACCCAGCACCTGGCGAAGGGGGTAAGATATAAGCCGCAGCCTGAGAACCCCTCACCCCAGCTCCCGGTGGGAGAAGAGGAGTCAGAGCGGGGAGGGAGAGGGAGCCCAGGACTGCTAAACACCCAGCCCTAGCCATCGGCACCGGACCGCAGACACAGTGCGTGCGTGGGGTGCTGGAAACTAGGGAAACAGGACAGTAAGACCTGTGAGCAGATCCCCGCAGCTGGCGTACCCGGGACAAAGAAAAGCAAGTGCTTTTTGAAAGTCTTAAAGGGACAGGGACCCCACAGCTGGATGGAAGTGCCCCAGGACACTTAGCCTAGCAGCTGGGAATCATGGAGAACTCTGGGCACCCGAACCCCCACAGCGCAGCGCGGAGGCCCCTCACTGTGATAAACAGCCTCCCGCCTGTTCCCCCTCCGATGTGGCTCTGACATATTGGAGTAGCAGCCTTAGGCAGGCCACGCCCACAGCAACTGCAGAGCTAAACTCCATAGCGGCCAGGAAAGATCAGAGGCCCTGTCTGCACGCAGCTGCCCAGCACAAGCCGCTAGAGGCCACTGTTCTCCCAGGAGAGGAAGGTCACAAACTGGCAAGAAGGGACTTTCTCTTACCCAACACACGCACCAGCTCCCCACAAATATATCTATCACCATGAAAAAGCAGAAGAAATTGATACAGACCAAGATCACAGAGGCAAACCCTGAGAAGGAGATAGACCTAACCAGTCTTCCTGAAAAAGAATTAAAAAGAAAGCTCATAACGATGATGATGGAGCTGCAGAGAAATATGCAAGTGCTAAGGGATGATGTCCAGAAGGAGATTACAGAAATGAAACAATCTCTGGAAGGATTTATAAGCAGAATGGATAAGATTCAAGAGGCCATTGATGGAATAGAAACCAAAGAACAGGAACGCATAGAAGCTGACGCAGAGAGATAAAAGGAACTCCAGGAATGAAACAATATTAAGAGAACTGTGTGACCAATCCAAAAGGAACAATATCTGCATTATAGGGGTACCAAAAGAAGAAGAGAGAGAGAAAGGGATAGAAAGTGTATTTGAAGAAATAATTGCTGAAAATTTCCCCAAACTGGGGGAGGAAATAATCGATCAGACCACGGAAGTGTACAGAGCTCCCAACAGAAAGGACCCAAGGAGGACAACACCAAGACACATAATAATTAAAATGGCAAAGAGCAAGGGCAAGGACAGAGTTTTAAAGGCAGCTAGAGAGAGGAAAAAGGTCACCTATAAAGGAAAACCCATCAGGCTATCATCAGACTTCTCAACAGAAACAATACAGGCCAGAAGAGAATGGCATGATATATTTAATGCAATGAAACAGAAGGGCCTCGGACCAAGACTACTGTATCCAGCATGACTATCATTTAAATATGAAGGAGGCATTAAACAATTCCCAGACAAGCAAAAGTTGAGGGAATTTGCCTCCCACAAACCACCTCTACAGGGTATTTTAGAGGGACTGCTCTAGATGGGAGCACTCCTAAGACTAAATAGATGTCACCAGAGAAAATAAAATCACAGCAAAGAAAGCAGACCAACCAAATACTAACTAAAGGCAAAAAATAAAATCAACTACCCACAAAAGCAGTTAAAGGAAGCACAAAAGAGCACAGAATTAAACAACCAACATATAAAGAACGGAGGAGGAGGAATAAGAAGGAAGAAAAATAAAGAATGACCAGACAGTGTTCAAAATAGCTCAATAAGCGAGTTAAGTTAGACAGTAAGATACTAAAGATACAAACCTTGAACCTTTGGCAAGCACGAATCTAAAGCCTGCAATGTCAATAAGTACATATCTTTCAATAATCACCATAAATGTAAATGGACTGAATGCACCAATCAAAAGACACAGAATAAAAGAATGGATAAAAAAGCAAGACCCCTCTCTATGCTGCTTACAAGAGACTCACCTCAAACCCAAAGACTATAAGAACAAAGAAAGACTTAAGGAACAAAACAGCAGCAGAATCATAGAACCTAAGAATGGACTAGCAGTTACCAAAGGGAAAGGGACTGGGGAGAAAGGGAGGGAAGGGAGGGATAAGGGTGGAGAAAAAGAAAGGGGGTACTACGATTAGCATGTATAATGTGAGGGGGGCATGAGGAGGGCTGTGCAACACAGAGAAGACCAGTAGTGATTCTATAGCAACTTACTACACTGATGGACAGTGACTGTAATGGGGTTTGTTGGGGGGACTTGGTGAAGGGAGGACCCTAGTAAACATAATATTCTTCATGTTGTAGATTAATGACAACAAAATTAATTAATTAATTTAAAAAAAAAGATCAGAGGTGAAAGAGAAGTTACGACCAACACCACAGAAATACAAATGACCATAAGAGTATTATGAAAAATTACATGCCAACAAATTGAATTTAGAAGAAATGTCCTAGAAACTTAGACTCTCCCAAGACTAAACCAGGAGGAAATAAAAAATTTGTTCAGACCCAATACTAATAATGAAATTGACTTGGTAATGAAAAAACTCACAACAAACTAAATTCCATCACCAGGTGGCTTCACAGATGAATTCTACTAAACTAAGTTTAAAGATCTACTAAACGTAAAAAGATCATTCACCATATCAAGTAGGATTTATCCCAGGAATGTAAGGATGGTTCAATATCTGCAAATCAATCAATATGATACACCATATTAACAAAAAGGAAGGACAAAAAGTGTATCTTGTTGAAGAAACATTTAACAAAGTTCAACATCCATTCATGATAAAAATTCTCAACGAAGTGGGTGTAGAAGGGACATATCATAACATTATAAAGGCCATATATGACAAAGCATAATCGGTATGAAAAGCTGAAAGTTCTTCCTCTAAGATAAGGAACAAGAGAAGGATGCCACTCTCACCATCTCACCAGGGAAACTGACAGCCCCAGCAAGGTATCCCTAAGATGCTTCTAAAGCAGGAGTATTGAGGGAGGGTGTGCATGTGCACATGCGCCTAACATATTTTTGCTCATTTTGATAAAAATGTATTTATTCAATAAATATTTCCGATCCTGTCCTGTTCTAAGCATACTTTTTGGTGCTGGGAATTTATATCAGTGAGCCAAAGAATCAATGGCCTCCATTCCGGAAGCTCACATCCTACTGAGGAGAGCCAAACCATTAATTAGTAAGTAGAGTATATGGCCTGTCAGATGGTGACAAATGCCATGGGGGAAAATGGAGAAGGGGAACCAGAATACGGAAGAGGAGTAACAGCCCTCGCAGGAGTTTCCATTTTAGAGGAGTCACCTGAGCAGACACCTGAAGGAGGGAAGGAGCAGGCCACGCAGGTAACTCAGGGAAGGAAAATATGAAAGCTCTGCCGATGGAGCTTACCTCGTGATGCAAAACAAAAGCACTCCACGCATCAGGAGTGAAGGGGTGAGGGAGGAGGGGCAGAAGATGAGACCACAGGGAAGGGCACCTGACCACACAGGGACACCCCCGTTCCATCACCTTCCTGAAGAAGGAGGTCACAGTCAGGCCATGAAGGGGAGGAAGACCTACAGGTCAGGCTGAGACCAAGGAGAAGTCAGGATGGTCCCAGAGCACTTTCCAATTTCAAACTGCAAATGAGTTTCTGAGGACAAACAAACAAAAGACTTTACCTTCTAACGGGTTGTGCAATTTTGCTTCGAGGCAGGTTACTCCCATTTATTGCCAGTGAAGGCCTTGGAAGTGCACTGCGGCCCATTATCCCAGAAGCTGCTGCTTTGTTTGGTGTGGGGATTCCTGTGCTGGAATACAACTGTAAGCCGTTGGATAAAGGCATGTTACTGCTGCCTTGAACGGTGGGACTCACATAGGCTGTGGCTTTAAGAGGCTGCCGGACAGACACTGGGAAATGTCCCACACTGTGGAGTCTGTGTTGAAGCTGTCCTGGGGATGGAACTAGAAGAGAAAACAACATGCATGTGAGAGAAAACTCCTACTGCTCTCCAACTCAGGAAGAGTGCATTGGATTCACCAAAGCTGGTAAGGTTGGAAAGGGTAGTACAGATATAGAAGTAGATAAATGAAATGTAGGGTCCAGACAGTATTGGAAAATTCTAATTCTTGGTAAGAGTCTCCCCTCTTCTGTCAATCAGCAACAATAGCCACCTAACTCTTTGAAGCCAGTTCTAACAAGTCCCTTTCCTTTACCAAATTTGATCATCTCACAGGACAATTTCTTCCTTGCTTGCCTGGGAGACATTAGGAATAGTCTGGGATGGTTTCATGAAAATAAAACAGGGGGACAATTTAATAGCTAATTACAGAAAGGAAGACAGAGGTGACATCAATAGACTACAGATATATTTCTTAGTTTTTGTCATGGTATTTACTTATCTCATAGGGTTGGTGGGAAGACTGAGTTAACTCAAAAGAAGTCTTACAGAGGGGGGGCCTGGCATTTAATAACCATTCAACATGAACATTCTGGAATATGTTCCATTATGTCAAGTGTACTCCAAATTCTATAACTATTAGGATGAATGAAGTTAGCAGAGTCACTGAATATATCAAGTTCAAAAATTGTGTTTCTAAATACCAGAAAACTAATAGAAACTAAACCTAAAAAGAAAAAACACCAAGAACACTTTAAAAATCATATACTTAGGAGTAAATTTAACTATAGATGTTTAAAACCTCTATTCAGAATGCTACAAAACTTTGATGAGAGGTATGAAAGAAGATCTAAATAAATGAAGGAATGTTCCATGTTAATAAATTAGAAGACTTAATATCATTAAGATACGAAATCCCCTAAAATTTCCCTTAGATTCAATGATATTCAATCAATACCATTTCAAATTAAACTACAGAAAAGTCATTCAGGAAAATAGTCCTATTAATTTTCCTATACACAAAATAGATAAGCACCCTTGATTTACAACTGATAAGAGAAACCAGTTAAAATGAACAGGCATAATTCTCATTTTAAAAATGAATCAGAAAGGATATATACTTCGCTCAAGAGCTTATGATTAAGAAAAGACTCAAGCTCAAGTCGCTGACTATTCCAGTGCTCTTTTGTCTGTCTCAGGCTCCCTTTCCAACACTATCTTACCTTTGTTCTTCCTGGAAAGTAAAATGGCCTGGAACTCAGAATCTTCATGATAGAAACTCAGAATGCATAAACACATTCACTTACAATGTTTAGGAACAGAAGTAAAGGAGAGCAGAATCCTACTATCTGACACAGTTTATGACTGACCCGTTACACGTGACACTCTTCACAGTTTTTTTCCTTTCATTATTAGGCTTGGCTTAAGATAATGATTCTATTTCTTTTACATTTATTAACTGGAATTCTACTGCAAAGAAGAATTTATTTATTCAATTAAGTATGGATCCACAGTTGTTTCTTTTACTCCATAGGTTACAATCCTTTAATGTATGATTTTTATTCTGTGTCTCACATTGTCCCAGGTTTGGTCACTAGGAACTTTTTCATGTTGTTTCTTATGTCCTTTGACATGTTCCCATCATTTTTTGAGCACTTCCACCAAAACTGGCCATTCTTTGTAGTGTACATCCTATTCTATTTTAGATTACATACATTTTTTCTGGCATTCAAGTCATGCTATAATTAACCTACAGTGAGAGTTAGCAAAAATCCCTCAGTATCAGATTTGCTACTATCTAAACCATATTTTATCATTCTATGCTGATACTTTTGACTTTTGTATTCAAGTACAGAACCCTGTATTTCTCAGTTAAATGTCATCATGGTATATTTGGCCCATTGTCCTAACCTCCTGACATAAATTTAGTATTTCCTATCATTAGCAAATTTCATAGACTGTCTCCTGGTTTTATACAAGTCATTAATTAAAAAATTACAACCCTAGCACATTCCTTTATCCATTCATTCAAACATTAACTGAAGGCACATATGCCCCCAGTGGCTGGGGACGATAAACTCGGTCCAAGTCCAGAGGGAGCTGATGATCTCATGTGGAAGAGAAGCGTGATGACAGTAAAGTACTGCACACTGAGTAACAGCTGAGCACCAAAAACCTCATCCATTCTAGGCAGGTCTGGGGATTCGGAGGGTGTCTATTAGGGTCATTAATGGAGCCTTTTCAAAGGGTATGGTATCTCGCCTGTATGATAAAAATACATTGGAGTAAACTGGATGAAGAAGGGGAGTGAAGAAGAGCATGTGGAGGTCAGAATACTGCAGCAGTTAGAGGCATAAACTCTCGGATGATCAGAACGGTTTCTGTTCTGTCACCTGCAGGATCTTGGCAAACTGGCACTTCACCTACTTCAAACTGTTTCCTCATCTGGGGAAGTGGGAACAAAGGCAAAACACCTTCATAGGGCTAAGTAAGGTGATGCATATAAACCATTGACAAGTGCCTTGTGCAGAGTAAAAAAGATGTCATTTCACCTTTAGCACTAAGACCTAAAGAAATGAAAGACTATCACATTTTGGGGAAATGGCACTTGAGCCCCAAAACTGGATCGAGGGAGAGGGCTGTAAACGGCCCTGGGTGCGGACTCAGACATCTGGCTGCTGACTTTGACCAGCACACTCTGAACATATGTCAGGCCTCCCTGGTTTGGGCAAGTCAATCCTGAGACTGTGACCTTGACTCTGCCTCGCAGGGGTTGTCTTAAACTTAACCCCAAATACACACATAGACAGCATAAAGAATGGGGAGTAAACCTGGAACCGCCACACACCCACCCAGGGTGACAACACACAAACACGAGGGTCACTGCGCACCACTGGGTAAGACGTGCAGAGAATGAATGAGACTGTGTAGTAAGCTGAAACAGTAGAAAAATACTACCTTAGACTTATAAAATATAACTTCACTTGGGGGGTGGGGGAAAACAAGACCAAAGTAACCTCTAGACAGAAAAAGTATGTTTTCTTCAGAGTAAAAGTATTAAGTAGACAGCTAGAAAGAGGCAGATTTGCAAAGAAAATTGTATTTTTTTGTATGCTGACAAGACAAATTATTTACCATTTAGTGCTTCTATTGCTATCCTTAGATATAAAGAACTCCATACAACTTACTAATTATTAGTATGATAGGCACTGGTGAAATAGTACTCAATTGTAAAGGCGAAATTCAAAAACAGTAGTCACAAGGAGAAAAGCTTCCTGTAGTGTTCTTAAAAGATAAAAAGAAGAAATGGAATAGTAAGATATATTTATAATGTTGCTAGAATTAAGAACTACAAAAAAGTTAAGCAAGTTACACTTACTACAAGACTGTATTCTTGATATTCCATTTCCAGCTCCATGCAAGCTTGAGTCGAAACTCTGACTATTCCGCACGGTGACTGGAGAACTAACATTGCTACTGACAGTGGTTGTACTTGGCATCCGAGCAAGATTAGGCATACTTCTTCGGAGCTTGTCTAGAAGAGAAAAGAATTTTACTAAGTTAAAAATTACAAGTTTTATGCCAATTAAAACACTAGCTTTCCAAGATAAATACAAATGTAAATCATATTTTGCTCGATAACAAATAAAAACTATCATGTGCCTTATGAACTAAAACAAGCCAACAAAGAATTAACCTCCTGTATGGGAAAATACACTCAGTATCTCCAGAAAGGTTCCACCAAATGACCGTTAAAACACATGTTCTACGAAAATAGGTGCTGATTAGTGAATCTGTTAACTATGTGTTACCATACAATAAGTGGGTAAAATTGTATCAAAATGAGGCTAGAAAATAACCTTAAATCCATTTAGTTTTTTTAAACACACTAGAAATTATTACATGTTAATTAAAAAACAGTAAGCCTAGAAGAGTCAAAAACAATACTTAAAGAATATCTTTTCCTAACAAGTCAAAATGGAAGAATTTATTAACACTCTAACTTGAGATGTTTTCAGGTACTCACTCATCACGCCAACAGGACCACATTAACTTCTGGAAAGTTTTACCTATTATAAGTTTGCCACCAAAGGTTTGGAGACTTAAAAAAGAGAAGGCTTCCTTTCTTTCTCCTTGCCAAGCACGTCTCGGCCACTAAACGGCAGCAGAGAGTCACACACAGATCTCCGTGTTGCTGGGATTTTAAATCAGCCACAGAACTGCAACTCTGTACAAGGCATGTTCTCTTTATGAATACACACCCCCCAAAACTAAAATACATATAGCAGGCCACTTAAGCTCAGAAAACAACGGATTTATTTGAATACAAAGCCAAAATCCTTTCAAGTAGAAGACTAGACTCCTTCCTTCGTTCCCTGACACACAGCTCCCACATTACTCAGGTCCGCTGACTGCAGCCCAGTCTAGAAGGTCACCTAACTCAGAAATCTGGGCACTCTCTTAAGACTCACCTCCCTCCTTCACCCTTGACTCCAAGTCCTGTCAATTCTCCTTCATATTTAAAATTCCTCTCTTCTTTCCCTCCTTCACACACTACTCATTCTCCACTACTTATACTGATTCACAATAGCCCTGTTCAGCAATTTTCACCAACTTGGGGTGGTCTAGGGAAAAGACAAAAAATTAAACAAGTGTGGTAAGTATACTTCTTAATAACCATAAACCTATAATAGGATATCATAAAGAGCGCTGTGATGGAAGACCAGAGAAGGAGTATTACATTCCTCTAGCTAACGTCTAGCAATTCTTTTAAGAACTAGCACGGCTATCCCTCCTCAGGGAAGATTTTCTATCCACCTCCTAGCTGAGCCATTTACTGCTCACACAACATTCCCTCCCTGACTGTGTGGATCTCCAGAGTAACAGTGCTCAAAGACCACCACTGACTGTTAGATTTCCTGACTATTTTCCTTATTATCACTTTGAGGCCTATTTTTAACAATCATGTGTGTCAGATTCCCAAATTCCCGTTAAAATTCTGCAGCATGTGGCACGTGTGTGTTGGCAGACAGTGCGTCACAGGTGTGAGGATGCAGAAGAGAAGGGATAAAGCCTTGGAGCCAACATCTGGATCTTTTGAACAGCATATTAACTGACATGAAAAAGTGGGCCTCTATTGATACAACATGAATTACTTGACTATATATATGTAAGCAGCAGGTAGACATAGGGAAATAATTATATGCTATTATTTAGAAAATAGAGTTTCTAGATTTCTTTAAATTTCCCAACTATTTACTATAAAGGTTTTCATATATATAGAAGTATTTAAAAGTAGTATCATAAACATCTGTATATTTTCCACCTAAATGTACTAATTTTCATTTTGCCATAGTTAATGCATTTGTTATATATATCACATTTTTGTTATAAATGTACTAATTTTCATTTTGCCATAGTTAATGCATTTGTTATATATATCACATTTTTGTTATAAATGTACTAATTTTCATTTTGCCATAGTTAATGCATTTGTTATATATCACATTTTTGTTATAAACAAATTGTATATATAATTTGTTTGTTGTTAAGCGACATAAAAGCTGCAGACATCTTGACATTTTGACCTTAAATGACTTCTCTCTCAATTTTAATATGATGCCATGACTTTCATTTGCACATGGAATACACTGTCTTCCTAACATGATAAGCTTTCATAAATTAGTCACTGTGACATTCTTTAGCTGCCACTGTCTTCCTTTAAATTTGAAATCTAAAGGTACTCAGGTACTTTCAAATCTTAGGTACCTCCTAAGAATAAGAAAATTCATTACAATCACAATACTGTCATGACATGTAAACAAATTAACAATAGGTTTTAATAATCCATCCACAAAATTTTCCAGCCATCTCAAGATGTCTTTGATAAGTTTTCTCCATAAAACACAATCCGGTAAAGATTAACACATTAGATGCGGTTGTTTTGTCTCTAATTTGTTAACCCAGATACATCTCTACTCAAACTCAAGCATCAAATCAGTTTCATAAAGCTTTATATCTGAAATAAGCTGTTAAAAAGAAAGGCTCCCAAGTGTAAATATTGAGACCACTATCCCTAAAGGAGCGAGGCTGTGACCTCCAAATTGTGTCAGAGATCACCTGGAAATGAGGTTCACTTTCTTGCCCAGCTATTTGGAATATATCGATGGCCACATATACTTTAATGTTCAAGGAATCAAAAATAATACGGTATTTCTATCTTCACAAGATATCAGCTGTTTATCTTCATGGACTGAGATGTAGCAGGAAACTGGAGGAATCAAACCAAGGAAAGAGTTCAATGACTTTCCTCATATTAAAGCAACAAGACTCATTACTCTGTGGAACAAAGACTAAAAAATCATAGGGAATAAATGAGAAACTTGTTTACCTATCCAACAGGCAGATGTAGCCTTTCAGTCAATACAATGTCCAGGGCAAGTCCCTGGACTAACACTGATTACATCATGCCAATGATTACCCTTGCCATACCTTAGAAATCACGGTTACTAAAGATTCTGTAAGATTTAGTCATTTTTCACATCTGACAAATTACTCCAAATATGCCCCTTGTAGTTCTATGACTCTTGCAAATGTTCCAAGAACTTTTAAAAGCTCTCTCTTTTGAACCTAGGCGGTATATTTATTGCTTCCATAAGCAAGAACCTTGCTTATGGAAGCAATAAATATAAATATACATTTCTGGTTTATTTTTAATTATTTTTAAATGAATCAATGATTTAACAAATTGTTTTCTCCTATCTATATTATTTTGGTAATTGAGAAATAGATTAATTTCAAAACTGCCATTCTTATTTCACGATTTTGTTCAAATAATATTCCATGGTAACAAATGAAGGCTCAGATATCTGAGTCATGTTAATACAAATTTTAAAAAGCCTCTCTTCATTTTCAACACCTTTAGTCCAGGCAATGAAATAGTTATTATTCCACTTATTCTTTAAGTTGGGAGAATTGTTGTTTTCTAAAACATAAGTTTTCTAAGCAAGAGATATTACTTGTTCACACTTTATAGCCAAGGAAATCAAAGATTAGAGATGAGAGAAACCTGTGAAAGGTGTAAGTGGTAGGATATGACCGGAACTCGGGGTCTCACTGGACTTCAGAGCCTGGGCTCTCAACCACGAAGTCAGTCAGTCAGAAGTCCAATCCAGAAAATCGCTCTTGTTTTCCATTTTCCTTTGTATGTGGGGATGACACCCTATAGGGAAAATACAGCTCCCACAGGCGGATGTGTGTCCACTTTCCTAATAGGGATCATCAGAGCACAGTGCAGGGAAACCTTATCCTTTTCATAATGGTGTCTGATGTAAGTTAAAACCACTTTTCTAAGGTCAGACAGTGATCCCATTGACACAATACTAATCAAGAGTCACAGCTAGCATCTCCTTGACAACTAGATGTTCTAAGACACCTGACATAAAACACCTTTAGGGAAGCAACTTGAGGTGCCTTTCAGTTTAAATCCCTCAGTTTTAAAAAGATGCTATGACTCATTAAGCACGTGGCATACACTGTCTTTCTGATTTATGAGCCTTAATAAATTAGTCATGCTGATATTCTTCAGCTGCCATTTATTTCTTTTAAATTTGAAATCTAAAGATTCTAAAAGATTAAATTATGCTAAATTTTTCAGTATTTTCAAATGATCTCTCAATTCACATGAATGACACAAGTATAGAGAAAGAAAAGGTAAAAACTAAAAACATGGAAGTAGGTGATCATGAGTACAATTTGTATCTGGCCTTGTAATATTTTTAAATAATGTGTTTGATCACTTCTGGGCCCAGCTTTGAGAAATGATGACATGTAATAATGAAAAGCAGTAACTGTCTTTTCATTTCCACAAATGGAAATTGTGTGTGAGGGTTTGACTGGTTGTTAGAATGAAAACATACCAGCTTGAGAATATATGATTACTTTCCCTATAGTTTGTTGGAAGTCAAGAAGCATAACTCCAGGGAGAAGGGAAGGAAGAGAAATAATGAAGAGGGAGATGGAAAAAATACACAAGGGCACATTCCAAACCACCATGCTGACATTAGGGCAGAACAACTTCCCTTTACCACGCCAAACATCAGCCTCCACATGCCAGCTGCTAACGGATCTTCATTCTAGATGTCAGGAGAGCAGAGGGAAGGACCATCCACACTTCCCCTACGTGTGGATGTGCGTTAAGCAGCACTGTCCACACTCACCACCCACCACTCCATGCCAGGGCCACGCATCAGAGATGAAGGCTGTGGGACGGGAGGGAGGGCGCAGCCCTGGGCCTCTGGCTCATGGAGCTACACGGCGAACTCCTGACCTGCACAACCTGCCTGTCCTGCAGCTGAAGAGGCGAGCACACGCAGACACTCCACATTTATGCCTCATTCTGTGCCAGCTATATCACCGTGGTATCCTTGAAACTATACATCTGGGACACGTAGTATGAAGCTGGTCAATTATAGATTTAAATTTAGACCAAACTCATAAGGTCATGAGGACAACTTAAATAAATCTGGGAAACATTTACCAATTATTCACACTGATTTTAAAACCATTTGACTACATCGGAAAGAACCAAGCACATCAGATACCATAAGGACACACATCACCTACCTCCACTGGTCCTATTTGGTTGCTGATCTGGACTGTGGGCTTGAGGTGAATAATATTGTTGCTGCTGGTAATTATTTGAAGGAAAATACTGGGAACTCGGGCTTCTCCTACAATCGCGAATGCTGGAGAAAGTCTGTGAATGGGGAATTCCTCTTTGGAAAGGTGAACATCTTGGGAGACGAGGCTGAGGTGGTGGCAAATGATCAAATTCTTCCTCGTCCTCCAGACTGAATCGATCATATTCTTGATCACTACATGTCCCTTTTTTGCCTGAACTTAGTGACACACTGGAACTATGCCTTGACACAGATGCTGAAGTGGAAGCATAATCTTGCCTGAGACCTATAAAATAAGAAATAACATTATCTTACAGGACACTTCAATCTAGCAGCCATCAAGTCCCAATTGAGAATACAGGAAAATTTGTATGCAACATTATCTTGTTCTTAGTTTATTACATCCCAAGAAAATGGATACATTTACGTACCAAACTGATGTCTAAGATTAAACCACTCTGTTTCACAAAAGATTGGCCAAATTCCAGTGAAAATTAAATATACTGCTATAGTTCACCAATCGGTCCATTTCCCCAAATAATCCCTTCTGAAATCTGGGGAGATAGGAAGGCTACTTAAGAAAAATGAGTCATTATCACTTTTAATAGTTTGCCATGGGTTAGACAATAAAAATAATCAGATCTCCACCCAGGTAGGAGCCCCTCCAACTCCCCACCCCAACTTCCAAAGCCAAGGAAAAGTTTAAAACCTGGGGTAGAAGTATTTCCTAACAAGGTTACCTCTTTTTTGTCTTTTCCCTACTAATATTATCTTTTTCAGAGTATACTGACACTTCAATACTTTAATAGTTTTGGGTCATCCTGAAGGACAACCACCTAAAAATAGTCTAACCACAAGTTTCTAGTTATTCATCTCACTGTCAACACAATTTCTTAAAAGTAGTCTATCCCTAACTGCTTAACTTCTGAAACTAATATCCAATCTTTTAGCCATATATTATTTAGAAGTTACCAGTTTACTATCAATAAATGACATACAACAATCACTTTTCCCAAAAATATATATCTTATTAAATTCTATATGACATCACCATGTTCCTCATAGTAGACTTGACTAATTCTGAAAGCAGGCAATCATTATGCTTAAATGATACTTGGCTATTTTTAATTTTGTTGGCCTAAAAAGATAATTCCAAAACAAAGCCTTGCCCCCTTCTGGGATCAACATCTTACTGTGCTTTCTGATGCCATTAATAATACCCTGTAGGCAGCTCACTCCCAGGTTATTTGTTGTAACTTTATTGCAAACCACTGATAAATTCTTCTATTTCCTATGATCTTCTCTTCCATGATTATTTATCCCGAGAAGTATATCAATGCATTTTCGTAAAATTTTTATTAAAATAACTATTGACTCACCTGTAATTCTAAAAAAATAATAGAGATCCCTTGTACACTTTACCCAGTTTCCCCCATGGTAACATTGTGCAAAATTACAGAATAATATGACAACTGGGATATTAGCAGTGATACTATTCCATCTTATTTAGATTTTCCCAGTTTTATTTATGAATGTGTTAATATTGAGTTCTACACAATTTTACCACCTGTAGGATCAAATTTATCAGTGTCAAAATACTGAACAGTTCCAAAATTCCACAAACACAAAAATCCCTTATGCTGCTCTTTTATAACCATATTCACCTCCCCTCTGAGATCCCATACCCTGTCCTTAGCTCCCAGCAACCACTCATCTGTCCTCCACCTCTCAAGTTTAATCATGTCAAAATGTTACATAAGTGGAATTATACAGTTTGCATCTTTGGGATTATCTTTGGTACCCAGCCTAATTCCTTGCAGAGTCATCCAAGATGTTGCATGCATCAACAGTCCATTCCCTTTTCATTACTGAGTAGCATTCCATGGGATGGTGGTACCACAGTTTGATTAACCATTCCCTTACTGAAGGGCATCTGACTTCACTCCAGTTTCTGGCTATAATAAATAAAGCTCCTATAAACATTCATGTACAGGTTTCTGTATGAACACAAATTTCCACCATTCTGAGATAAAAGCCCAAGAAGAAACTTGCTGGGCCTTAGGGAAATGGCATGTTTCATTTTTTAAAGAAACTGACAAACTGTTTCTACAGTGGCATCCCAGCAATGTCTTTCTATCAGTGTATTTTGATCAGAGTATGTCCTAATACCTTATAATGCCCATAAGAGTCTGAGAGAACAGCATTTAACTGCTCCAACTACAAAGTACCATGAGAGAAAGAATCCGATTGTGCATTACACCCGGGGTAAAATGTCTGAAACCTCCCCACCTCCTTAAATTGTAAGTTGATGCTTCTAGTTTAAGTTTTCTGGTTTCAAAAGAACATACTTTCTTCCTGCAGACGAGCCATGATCTGAACATCAGTGAGGTCCTGTAACTTATATCCCATGGAGATGGAATCATCCTCCAGTTCTGAAGTACTCAGCTCACTGTCTATGGACGACTGGGGACTGAGAGGGGAGCCCCTGGAGGTGTAACCTAAAAAACAGAGGAAAGGTGCTTATTATTTAGTCTAAAGAACTGATATCTATATATGCTTTACAATTCACTATCAACAGTCAGAAACTTTTTTTTTCCTGTTTCCATGTCACCAAAAGGTGGCCATCACTGTTTAACAGTGAGACGATATGCACATCCTCAAGCATTCCTGATTCATACGTGCAAAACCATTCTTCTGTTTTTTTCAACTTCAGTTTTCATAGTTTAAAAAATCTGTCTGTGCTATACACTAAATAAGTTACTAAGAGGGTAAATTTCATGTTGTGCATTTTTACCACAGTATTGAAAAATAATCCCCAATGCTAAAATCTGCATCCCCTTTGTAAGTCTTTATCTAAAGGCATTGGGAAACTCAGACAGAGCCATGTTCACTTTCCATTAATTATCAGCTGTGTACTATTTGATTACACATTTTACAATTAAATTTAATCTGGTCATTTCTTGAATGTAAACAGTGCTATAAAGAAGAATATCAGACATAAAAGGCACACATACACACACAGAAACATATACAAAAACCTTCATTACTGAGTGAGGGTGGAGCAGTCATAGGAGATGTGTGAAAGTTTTGAAAAGGCAATGGCCTGAGATAAGAGAACCAAGGAAGAAAGGACCCAAAGGAGAAACTGCAGGGATGGGATGACACTAGGGCTGAGACAAATAAGGAAATGGTGAGACTTTCATCTCATAAATAACCACTATGATTATTTTTCCTGGCTTAGTCTACCAGAAAAATAAAACTTTTAAAAACAAGATGTAAAAGACTTATATTCTTAAATCACAATAAAGTAATTAAACTGTTTGACATTTAATTTTAGAAGCACATTAGATATTTAGAAACATATAACTATATACATATGCTTTTGCTAACTAGGGAAGACCGCCTATTGCTCACAACTGAGAGCAGCAGATTAATGGCATCAAGGCACAAGTTAATGCTGGACTTTTTGTACCCAAAGTCCGTGTGCAGCACGAACTCTCCATTGTAAGATTACCCTCAAACTTTTCAATGCAAGGTGGACATTTAAGCTGTGTGTAGCAACTGAATGACAAAGCAAGCAGCTAGTCAAGAAGTTGAAATATTACCTGTTCTTTCAGGTGTTAGTATTGCTTTATTTGAGGTTTTAGAGAAGCTGGGAGTATTAATGCCATTGCTATAAGGGCTGAGTCTTGCAACGGGACTATAAGGAAAAGCCAGTGAGACATTTGAAGAGAAGAGACTCCGCCATCGGCTAGCTGTCATAGAAGCAGAAAATAAAGAGGAGCAGTTAGCTATACAGAAGGAGACATGGTTTACCAGGGGGAGAAAGAGAAGAGGTTAAAAATAATGAAAAGACAAAGCAACTTTTCATGAGAATATCTTAACTGACTTCCACTTACCTAAGGGAAAAAAATGTAAAAATAGACAATTTATGAATTAGGGCCCTATTTATACCTCCATTAAGGAAATCATTAAATCAGTCTCACCTTGATTAAAGCCAATATGCCTCTATAACAGTGATAAATGTGTTTTTAATTTCTACATTAGAGATGTTTTCTATGTTCTCTTTCTGCTCAAAAATTAAAGTGTTTTGTATTCATATAAAGGATTACTGTCAAGAGAAAAACTCTTAGGGACTTAGAATTTTCAGAACTGTGGGAAATATTAACTATACAAAGTCCTATATTTTTTCATAACCCATTTAATATCAGAAAATATTCATCAAAAATTTTTCTTGGAAACTCTTCAAGGAAACTTGTTCTTAGATAACAGAAGAAACTAAATTGACTATTGTCATTCTGAATGACCTTGAGTCTAAAACAAGGTTTATGGAAAAATGATACAAATTAGCACAAAATAATGGGAGAATATATACACCAAAATTTAATAACAGCTATTTATGATTACAGAGGCTCACTGGTGATCTTTTGAACTTTTTTCTTTTTATAAGAAATATTTTCCAAATTTTCTTTATTGAACAGACTGTTTATATAACATTTAGAGATAAGATACATATATAATTAACACTAAAATAAGGAACAAAAGGAAATTTCACCTGCAATAAACAGATGCATTATTAGATTACCACACATGGTCTAAATAATGAAACACTCTCCTCTAAGATTACCAACCTCTTGCTATTTTTAAGTTTTTGAGATCATGAAAAAGACACCAAACTGTAAAAATATGAGGAAGTCACATCAAATATCACTTACTCTGCTCTTCAAGGCATACAAATTACTGTGCTAAAGCAATCATTTAGATACCCACTAAGCAGAATGAGAAGGAATAGATAATATAAATTAGGTCAAACTTCACTTTAAGCCATAACTTGGTTTATATTTGCTGGAAGTTCAACAAAACTTTCAGAAGTCAAGTATAAACAGACTGCTTTGAAATGCAGTCCCCACATCACTTTTAATGAACAAGGCTTATGAGCAGCCCAATGGCTGCACAGTGTTTAAAATGGGCAGTAGGGTGGAGAAACTATGGGATGGAGGGAGTCAAGAAAATAATCTGCTTCTAAAATTGGGATTCTTAAGATCCTTGCAAAAGTATTTAAAAGAGCAAAATGTTTCCTTTACTTTAGCAAGAATTCTTGAGATAAAAACCATCCCACTGTAGTAACTATACAATAAATATCTTTTCCTTGTGCAGCAGGTGAGTGAATGAGGCAAGGAAACTACATTCACAAGGATTACGTTTTCAGAACTCACAAGTTTAATGATGTGGACAACACCACAAAGCCTCATTCCTACTGACACCAGGCATGTCACTGATCTGACATGCAATCAACTGTTGTTAAGCAGCCCTTCTTGACCTGAGTCAAAGCAGAGACTTGTCAAAGTGGTAAACCCTGTCCTCTAACTTCTAGATGTCTACCTGACCCCCAAATATACTGAAAAATAATATGTAAAGTAACACACACTAGGTGGCTGTTCTCACATCTTCCATCGCTATTGCTCAAAGTTTGTCACTAAAAATTCCATATTAAAAAACAAGATCAATAGTTCTTTGTGATTGCTAACTTGCTTAACAGATGATGCTCATTGAGCACTTGCCAGAAAAATTACAGTGATGGCGTGTTCTCACCCACAGATGCAGGCAACGACACATCACAAGTAAACAGCATTCATTATTCTGCACAGTAACTCCCATGGCCCAGCCGCCCTGCACAATGGCTCAGTGATTGTGGCTATGACAGCAAGATCCTAGCTAATAACACAATCGGCATCTATTGCAAGGAAGAACACTCTGCTTTGTCCTTTAGCGTGGAGGATTTTCAGAAGAGGGAGGAGAATTACTGTGGAGGCAAACTAACGAAACAATGCTGCTACACTGGGGCCCAAGGTTGTGGCGGAGGAGGAGAAGGGACAGGAACGGAAGCCACCACATCCTAGTTATTCTTCACTCTGTAGCTGAAGAATTGTAAGGATTGTAACAGGAGGCACATTAATAGAGAATAAAACAAAGAACTTCTTAAGGGGCAATTTTCTCTCTCTCAATCAATTAATTTAATGGATTCTTTCCCATATAAGGATGTTAAATTATCTGAGAGGCTCAAGGATGAACAGAATGACCCTAAGGAGTAAGACAATTTTGCTAATGAAGGAAATGGGTAATAAACGTCTGAACAACAGCTTACATTTCCCTATATTCCCACTCCAAGGTTCTAACTGTAAATAAAGGGCTTCCTAAAGTTGGAGGTGACTGGACTATGTATTATTTTTTAATTGCAACCCCTAGAATAGCAGAGAGTTGGGCCCAAACATAATAAGGCACTGATTAAATGTATCATAACTGGCAGGGTTCCCATCCCCAAATACTTTACTTTAATTAAACTGTCTCCCAGCCAATTCTTACTGCATGCTCTCTGTATTCCCACTGCAACCTCCTTAATGGAGACACTCGCCACCTCTTACTAAGTGATTCAAAATATTCCTCAACAAACTTCCAGCCACCAACACGGCCCTCAGTGATCTTGTTCTGAACATCGCTACCAAACTGTGTTAGTCATGTTCTATTTTAACTGTTTTACTCTCTTCTATTAAAGTGCAGGGGCTTCTCATCACATGCAAGATCTGAAAGGTATGCCAGATCATCTCGCTAGCCCCACCTCTGCTGCCATGTATCTCATGCCACCTCAAGAGCGTTTCTGAAACTTCCTTGTTAAGAATACATTTATACTGAGTCAACTTTCTAATTTGCCTCCCTTGTTTAGTAGGCGTTTTCTGTTGAAATAAATGTGAGAAGGTATTAAGTTGTGGATTGATCCCTCATATTTCTGCCAAAAAAAAAAAATCTGAGCATGTCCAATGGTCTATTAATTTTTGTGTACATCTTCAATATTGCCTTACTTAAAAAATAAGTTACAATGTCTCTGTGAAGCAATTTTTATATAACATTAAGCAAAATATGACCCTTCCTGCAAAAACCCTTGATTTGACAAATGCTTCAGGGATGATATCAAGAAAAAATAAAAAAGGACAGATAATAGGAGAGGTTTAAGAATGAATCTAAATTTTATTCTCCACAGAAAATTTTTCTTGGCAACAAAAAATTTCCCATACACAATGACATATCCACCTACCTTGCTCATTTTTGCCTAGATTCATAGGAAATATAGTAAATATTCAAATTTTTGTTGAATATGTATGTCCCTGAATATAATCAAAATCAAATTTAAGAAAGCACTATGACTTAATTAACACAAAGGTAAAAGAGAAACTGATCTAACAAAAATCTTAGTGATCATACTTGAAAGGTCAGTATTTCATCAAGCTAGAAGATGTAAAACAACATATATGTCTGGAAACAACACATATTATATTGTAGAAACATAATCATTTTCACATTTTCTTCTCTTCTCACTATAGAGATAGCCAGTTTAGTACCTAACAGTCTGCAATCAACAAGTGTTGACTGTGGTCAAAATCTTGGCAAATTCACTAATATTCCCTTACCTCAAACCATTCTACCATTCCTACCTTGACATCTAAATGGTTTTGTCCAATTTCTTACACTTAATGTAACTATAACTTAGTATATCTTTGAAGACAAAGGTTAGTCTTGACACTTCAGCCCAGCTAGAGGCTCAAGCAAGAAATATACCTGTAGGAGCTCTTCATTAATACTTCCTAATAACTATGAACTTGTTGAACTTCAAGTGTGTGAATCTTCTGGTTTCCGGCTAACATTGATGTATTACTAATGGTGAGGACCTGTGATTGGGTAACTGACACAAGATTAAACAGGGGTCACCATCTTGATGGGCTGGTTCCTACATGCCGCACTGCACAGAGAAAGTGGAGGCTTGTGCCAAGAACACTAGCTGGCAGTAAACCATGCAAGGAAGCAACAAAGCTTCCTCGAATTGTTGAAATGCTACCATTTCTTAAAATCAAAGAAACTATTCAGAGAACAGGTGAAAGTGTTTTTAGTGGAATTCCTATAAATCTATCAATAGAGTAGCATCTGACTTGGTTTGAGTTGGGTAAGGAAGTTTCTGGAAGGCAGTACTCTAATTCTTCCTAGCGGTTTCTGACAGCACAGCCATATTTCTAACCAGGGTATTATAGTCCAAATGTCTGGGTCCCCCCAGAATTCACAGGCTGAAATGCTAACCCTCAAAGATGAAGGTACGTTTGTGGGGCCTTTGGGAGGCAAAGTCAGAGGGTAAGTGGGTGTGCCACCCACAAGAGATCCCTAGCCCCTTCCACCATGTGAGGACGCAAAGAGAAGCCTCTGACCTACAGAAAGGTCCTCACCAGACCCAGCTGGCCCTAGTCTTGTACATCCAGCCTCCAGAATCATGAGCAATAAATTTCTTCCCTTTATAAGCCACCCACTCTCCAGTATTTTGTTATACAGCAGCCTGAACAGACTAAAACACAGGGGGAGGTTATTCTAGAAAATAAGCCCTGATCTTCACTACTTTATCCCTTTCTCATTTGTCATCTAAGACCCTAAAAGGCAAAACATCACTTTGCAAAGACAATGGCTCATTATGACTTGCCAGGCTATTACCTGCTGTCACGCAAGGCAGGCGATCTGGGATCACCACTCCAGGAATCATCCCAGGAGTGTGAGGAAATCAGTCTAAAGCAGCCCTAAAAATGTGTCATTCCTTCAGCACTTAGTAAGTCTGATGAAAACTCATTAAAAGTAAATTTTAGATCTATTTTAGTAAAATTCACAAGCCTGCTTTCTAAATAAGTCATAGTTTTGTATCTGACTAGGACAACTGGATCATGGA